TCTATCATATCATACGAACTTCGAATACCAAATTTGAAACAATTCTGGTGAATAATGTCGCTAAAATCAACAAAGTACCGAATAGAGGGAGGTAACGTTATATGGAGGCTATAAGAATACAGGGACCTGCACAGACTATTTTCTGTCTTAGGCTGTAGTACCCATTTCGAACTTCAAATGCCAAATTTGAAACAATTCCGGTGGATAAGGTCGCTAAAATAATCGAAATACCGAATATCGGGAGGTACCATTATATGAGGGCTTTACGAAGACGTGGTCCTGCACAGGAAATTTTCTGCCATAGCCTCCAGTATCCATTGCGAACTTCAAATGCCAATTTTGAAACAATTCCGGTGGATAAGGTCGCTAAAATTATCAAAATACCGAATAGAGGGATGTACCATTATATGAGGGCTTTACGAAGACGTCCTGGTCCTGCACAGAAAATTTTCTGCCATAGCCTCCAGTATCCATTGCGAACTTTAAATACAACATTTGAAATAATTAAGGTAAATAATGTCGCTAAAATCATCAAAATACCGAATATCGGGGGTATTTCGGGGGTTATAGGAAGACGTGGACCCACATGGCTCATTTTCTGTCTTAGGCTGTAGAATCCATTATGAACTTCAAATACCAAATTTGAAACAATTCCGGTAAAAATGTCTCTAAAATCATCAAAATACCGAATATCGGGAGGTGCCGTAATATGGGGGCTACACGACAACGTGGACCTGCATAGAAAATTTTCTATCATAGCCTCCAGTATCCATTTCGAACTTCAAATGGCAAATTTAAAACAATGCCGGTGAATAATGTCGCTAAAATCAACAAAGTACCGAATAGAGGGAGGTACCGTTATATGGGGTCTATACGAAGATGTGGACCGATATATCTCATTTTTAATACCAACCTTCTAGGACGGTTGGTTCAATATCTTTTGCCAAATTTTGAAGCTCTTCGTCAAATAATGTGGGCTGAATTGTGATTTCAACCGACAGACAGTCGGACAGAGAGACAGACGTACATCGTTAAATCGTCTTAGAATTTTATGCTGATATATACTTTTCAAGGTGGAGGGGATGCGTATTTTTTTTTTAATCCCTATTAAAAAAATTGATTTTAAAAAAGTCCGAAAAATTTAAGAACGCATATTTAATTATTTATTTAATATTATTATTTAATATTATTTAATGTTTAAAGATATGATTTTTTTTTAAATCCATTTTTGTTCAAAAATTTTCCAAAATCCTGCTTCGATATTGATTCGATTTAAAATTCCCATCCCTGATTGTGGCTTCAGAGATTTACACATAGGCACACACCCAACCCCCACCCCTAGAATACCACAAATGAGCCTCTGTGACTCTTGCCTCTCAGCAAATCACATTTAATTCAATCAAATTTAGTTAAGTGTTGAATGAAAAATTCAATACTCAATATATTTTGAGGAATATGCGGGTATCATCGTCAGCGTCATCATCGATTGATTTTAGAAAAAAAGCAGCAACAACAACAACAAACCCACTTGGCAATGCCCTTTGGGAAAATATGAAAAATCAATGTGTAATTGAGTAATTGCTTGGGTTCCACAAAGGCAAGCGGATGATGGGGTGTTCCACTTTATACCCTCCACCATACACAGTATGGAGGGTATATTACGTTTGTCATTCCGTTTGTAACACCTCGAAATATACATTTTAGACCCCATAAAGTATGCACATTCTTGATCAGCATAAAATTCTATGTCGATTTAAAGATGTCCGTCCGTCTGTGGAAATGCCTCTAGCTTCCGAACGAAATGAAGTCGGTTGATAAAATTTCACTCAAATGTATACTAAGTCTGCGAGACTTTTGGTATTGAAAACGGGTCATGTAGGTCCACGTTTTGGTATAGCCCCCATACAATGGTACCTCCTTTTTTCGGTATTTTGGTGATGTAAGCGACATTATTTACCGGAATTGTTTCAAATTTGGTATATAAAGTAAGCAATGGATACCACAGCCTATGACAGAAAATTGTCTACGTAGGTCCACGTCTTTGTATAGCCCCCATATAACGGTACCTCACGATATTCGGTATTTTGATGATTTTAGCGACATTATTCAACGGAATTATTTCAAATTTGTATTTGAAGTTCGTAATGGATACTACATCCTAAGACCGAAAAATTGTTCATGCAGGTCCACGCCTTCATATAGGGCACCTCCCGATATTTGGATTTTTGCAGATTTTAGCGATATTATTCGCCGGAATTGTTTCAAATTTGGTATTTAAAGTTCGCAATGGGCACTACAGCCTACGACCAAAAATTGTCTGTGCATGTCCACGTCTTCGTATAGCCTCCATACAACGGTAACTTCCGATTATCGGTATTTTGATGATGTTGGCGACATTATTCAGCGAAATTGTTTCAAATTTGGTATTACATGTTCGTAATGGATACAGCAGCCTATGACGGAAAATTTTTCGCGCAGGTTCACGCCTTCGTATAGGCCCCATATAACAATACCTTCCGATATTTGGTACTTCGATGCTTTTAGCGACATTATTCACCGGAATTATTTCAAATTTGGTATTTGATGTTCGAAATGGATCCTACAGCCTAAGGCAGAAAATTGTTGGTGCAGGTCCACGCCTTCGTATAGCCCCCATATAACGGAACCTTCCGATTTTCGGTATTTTGATGATTTTAGTGACATTGTTCAGCGGAATTCTTTTAAATTTGGTATTTAAAGTTCGTAACGTGTAGTACAACCTTTGACAGAAAATTGTCTGTGCAGGTCTACGTCTTCGTATAGCCTCCGTATAATGGTACCCCCCATATTTTCCGTATTTTTGTGATTTTAGCGACATTATTCAGCGGAAATGTTTCAAATTTGGAATTTGATTTTCGTAATGGGTAGTACAGCCTATGACAGAAAATGGTCTGTTTGGGCTACACGTCTTCATATAGCCCCCATACAAAGGTACCTTCCGATATTCGATATTTTGATATTTTTAGCGACATTATTCACCGGAATTGTTTCAAATTTGGTATTTGAATTTTGTAATGGATACTACAGTCTAAGACAGAAAATTGTCTGTGCAGGTCCAAGCCTTCGTATAGCCTCCATATAACGGCACCTTCCGATTTTCGGTATTTTGATGATTTTAGCGCCATTATATAATGGAATTGTTTCAAATTTCGTATTTGAAGTTCGTAATCTATACTACAGCCTATGACAGAAAATTGTTTGTGTAGGTCCACGTCTTCATATAGCCCCCATATAATGGTACCTCCAGATATTCGGCTTTTTAATGATTTTAGCGACATTAGTCACCGGAATTGTTTCAAATATGGTGTATAAAGTTCGTAATGGGTACTACAGCCTAAGACCAAAAATTGTCTGTGCAGGTCCACGTTTTGGTATAGCACCCCATATAACGATACCTCTCGGTATTCGGCATTTTAAAGATTTTACCGACATTATTCACCAGAATTATTTCAAATTTGGTATTTGATGTTCGAATTCAATACTACAGCCTAAGGCAAAAAATTGTCGGTGCAGGTCCCCCTCTTCATATAGCCCCCATACAACGGTACCTCCCGATATTCGGTATTTTGATGATTTTAAAGCCACGATTCACCGGAATTGTTTCAAATTTGGCATTTGATGTTCGAATTGGATACTACAGCCTAAGGGAGAAAATTGTCGGTGCAAGTCCTAGTCTTCATATAGCCCCCATATAAGGGCACCTCCCCATTTTCGGTATTTTGATGATTTTAGCGACATTATTCACCGGAATTATTTCAAATTTGGTGTTTGATTTTCGTAATGGGTAGTACAGCCTACGACAGAAAATTGTCGTTGTAGGTCCACGCCTTAATATAGCTCCCATACGACGGTACCTTCCGATTATCGGTATTTTGATGATTTCAGCGACATCAATTATCGGAATTGTTTCAAATGTTGTATTTGAAGTACGTAATGTATGCTACAGCCAATGACAGAAAATTGTCTGTGCATGTCCACCTCTTCATATAGCCCCCATATAACAGTACCTCCCGATATTCAGTATTTTTATGATTTTAGCAACAATATTTAACGGAATTGCTTCAAATTTTGGAATTTGAAGTTCGTAATAGATACTACAGCCTATGACAGAAAATTGTCTGCGTAGGTCCACATCTTCATATAGCCCCCATATAACAGTACCTCTCGATATTCGGTATTTTGATGATTTTAGTGACATTGTTCAGCGGAATTGTTTCAAATTTGGTATTTAAAGTTCGAATTGGATACTACAGGCTCTGACAGAAAATTGTCTATGCGGGTCTACGTCTTCGTATAGCCCTCATATAAGAGTACCTCCCGATATTCGGCATTTTGATGATTTTAGCGACATTATTCACCGGAATTGTTTCAAATTTGGTATTTGAATTTCGTAACGGATACTACAACCTATAGCAGAAAATTGTCTGTGCAGGTTCACGTCTTCGTATAGCCCCCATATGATGGTACCTCCCGATATTCGTATTTTTATGATTTTAAAGCCATGATTCAACGAAATTTTTTCTCAAGTTTCGCATTTGAATATTGTAATGGCTCATGACAAAAGTTGCCTATGCAGGTCCACGTCGTCCTATAGACCCTATTATAACAGAATTTTTGACGAATTTTATTTATGTATTTTTTTTTTTTTTTTTTTTTTTTTTTTTTTTTTTGAAAATTTGCAAAATTCGTTCCAAATGCCAGAGGTTATTAAAAGTTCGTCTCGGCCGAAATTACGGGTTTTTTACCTTTTTAAATTAAAAAATTATTTTATTATTTAATTTAATTTAAATAATTTTTTAAATTTATTAAAATAATTAATTTAATAAAATAACTAGCCTTTATCAAATTTATTAATTATTTTTTTAATATATTTATATATTTTTTTACACATTTAGTCCTTTATGTTTAACTAATTACCATTTTTTCTCTCTCTTCTCTCCCTCTTTTTTTTTGCAGAATCTCATCTCATCGCATCCCTTGTCGTTTGTCGGTTAATTGAAATATAAAAAAATTCAATTTAATCCCAACCAAAAAAAAAAGGAAAATAAAAATAAATTAAAGTGGAAAAAAAGTGTGCAAATTTAAATTAATTAAATTACAAAAAAAGGAAAAAAATATAAATATTCATAATATTTTGAGCTAATAAAATCAGGTTAATAGAATTTACCAATTATAATTAAAACTTAATGTAATGATTAAAGAGAAATAAATTAAAACAACAATAATAGTTAAAAAAATTAAAATAATAAAATTTAAATAATTATACTAATACTTGGGCTAATTAATGTCTGGTTGTCAAAGTGAAAGAGATTAAGTCCATGGAAGGGAAACAAATTAAATTACCAATATTTTTCAAGGTTTTCATGGGACAATGTAAAATCGGAGAATATTAATTTAGAGCATATTTCACACAGGTCACAAAATATCTTCCAATCCTAACGGAATTTTTTTCATGGGGGCCGGGTTAGGACCAGCTAGAAGCCTATTGTTTTTGAAGGTATTCGCAAAATATTTAGAGATTAAAATGGACAAAAAGAATTTTTCTTGATTTTGGGCAGTCGCTCTCTAGATCGCAATTCATGACCAATCGACACGGCATTTCACAGGAGTTTAGAGTTTAGGATAGGGAAGAAGCCTACCATTTTTAATGGCCATCGGATAATATTTACTGGGTAAGATGGACATTAATTTTGGGTCAATTTTTCAGCACGACGGTGAAAACCCAAAGGTACAATTTTTGAATTATTTAAAAAAAAAAAAAACAATTTTAGATTTGTTCGAATTGGTCCCCTATGGCACTAATTATGGCCTTCAAACGGCCAATGAAACCGTCACACGCTGCCCGAATGTTGCTCTGCGGTATTTTGGCCGATTCCCGGCGAAGCGACCATGCTTGAGGTGATCGACACTCTGGTATTTTTTTGTGCCAACCTTGCTTTCAAGGACTCATAGTTCCTTTTGATGATCTGCATAGAATCACATTCTGAGTCGATTTATGCATGTCCGTCCGTCCGTCTGTCCGTCCGTCCGTCTGTCCGTCCGTATGTCCGTCTGTTCATGTACTTTTATAAATCTTCATACAGTTCACAGTAATATCAGCCCGAATAGTATGGAATTTTGCACATACAACCAAATTAGGCCTGAAAATAAGTATGTCAAATTTGATCGAAATCGGTTTAGATATAGCTATAGCTCCCATATATATTGTTCATCCGATTTTTTTATTTTTGTCCTCCGCAGCCGTAGTATGCACCCTGTAGCAACAATATTTGGGGAAATATATCAAATACAGGTCAGAAATACATTTGCTAAATTTTATGGAGATCGGTTCAGATTTGGATATCGGCTCCCATATATAACTTCGTCCGATTTACCTTTGATTGTGCACCAAACGTCTAATATTTGCCCAAATGGGATGAAATTTGGCACATACCACCGAATTGAATCTAGAAGCTAGTATGTCAAATTTGATGGAAATCGGTTCAGATATAGCTATAGCTCCCATATATATCCGATCATCCGATTTGTTATTTTTGTCCTCCGCAGCCGTAATATGCACTCTGTAACAACAATATTTGGGGAAATATATCAAATACAGCTCAGAAATATTTTTGCCAAATTTTATGGAGATCGGTTCCGATTTGGATATAGCTCCCGATTTCAAATTAATTGTGCACCAAATGGGCAATACAGGTCCGAATTTAAGATAGATACAAAAGCTTCGGCATATTTAGTCCTTTGAACTTTAAATTATAATTATAATCATACCTAGGGTGTATGATTGAATTCTCCCATAAAAACTTTTAATTATTATGTGGAGCTCTACTAAATTAGCAAAGTGGTGTAGGGTGTCATAAAGTCGGCCCCGCCCGACCACGCATTTTGTGTTGAAGTTGCAAAATATGCTTTTTTATTTTTTTCTAATTTTTTTTATTATTTTTTGATAGATTTTATATTTTTATTTTTTTTATTTTGAATATTTAATTATATATTTAATATTTTTTTATTTTGGTTTCAATATTTATTTATATTTTTATTTTTTAATATATTTAAAATGTATTTAAACGAACAAAAATGGACTTAATCTCTTTTATTTGTTTATATTTTTTATAGTTTTAATATTTTTTATTTTTAATTTTAAAAATATATTTTTAATATTTTTTATGGTTTCAATATTTTTTTTATTTTTTATTTTTTAATATTTTTATTTTGAATATTTAATTATATATTAAATATTTTTTTATTCTGGATTTTAGGACTTTCTTTACTGTTTTTTTTTTTTTTTTTTGAAAAACTCTACACAAAAATCTTCGAAAAATTCTAAAAATCCACGCATTTTGTGTTGAAGTTGCAAAATATTCTTTTTTTTATTTTTTTTTATTATTTTTTGATATTTTTATTTTTTTATAGTTTTAATATTTTATTTTTTTTTTGGATGTTATAAATATATAATTAAAATTTTTTTATTTTGGTTTCAATATTTATTTATATTTTTATATTTTAATATTTTTAAAATTTATTTAATCGAACAAAAATGGACTTAATCTCTTTTTTTTATTTTTTTATATTTTTTATAATTTTAATATTTTTTATTATTAATTTTAAAAATATATTTTTAATATTTTTTATGGTTTCAATATTTTTTTGTATTTTTATTTTTTAATATTTTTAAAATTTATTTAAACGAACAAAAATGGACTTAATCTCTTTTATTATTTTTTTGATATTTTTATTATTTTTTTATATTTTTAATATTTTTATAGTTTTAAATTTTTTTATATTTTTTTTATTTTGAATATTAATTTATAATTTTAATATTTTTTTTTGGTTTCAATAATTATTTATATTTTTATTTTTTAACATTTTAAAAATTCATTTAAACTAACAAAAATGGACTTAATCTCTTTTACCTTGAGACCGCTGCGCGCTCTAAAATATAACAAAAATTAAATTTAAAAATTTTTCACAGTTTTTAAAATTTATTTTTTTATTTATTTCTTTGAAGCTCCATAGTTCGGAATTTAAAAAAAGAAATGATGAATAAAACCTCGTAAAATTAATACAAAAAAAATAAAAAAAAAATTGTATATTTTAACAAACAAATTAATTTGCAACATTTAATGGAAAAAGAAGCAAAAGAAAATTAAAAAATAATAAAGAAAAAAATTATAATCGCCTTAAATGTTCTGTAAAAAATTCAACCCATTAATCTATTGAAGACAAAAAAAAAGCTTGGGGGCGTTTATAAGCCATCAAAAAAAAAAAAAAAAAAAAAAAAAAAGACGAAAAAGACGAAAAAGAAGACCCCCTGTATCTAATACAAGAAGAGCCAACACATCACATCAAACAAACAACCTCAACCAACCTACCAGCTGGCCGGCCAGCCAGTCTGCCAGCATTCGAATCACCGGCATTATTGTCATCTGCTCTGGCTGCTGCCTCTTCTGCTTCTCTCCACCACCATCTTTCTGTTTAAGGGGCCAATATTCATCGTTAATAGCCAAGGATACTTTCGCTTAAACGCTGGGTCATTAATTTTATTCTTCGAGTGTGTGTGTGTGTGTGCGTGTCTGCATTTTGTTTTTCGCTGGTAGCCGACTAGAAGCTTTTGTAAAATCATTTTAGCCTACAAAATCTACAACCGGCAGACAATCGCAAAACATATTTGGAATTTGTCTTCGTTTTGTGTGTTCTTTGGCTAATAAATCGTTTTGTTCAAAATTTGTTAAAAGACAGATTCGAAGATTTCAACAGAGGAACCATCAACGTCATCATGAATCCCAAGCGCATTTTCTATTGGAATGGCGTCATGGCCATCATGCTGACCCTGGCCATATTTATGCCAACGGCAACAAATGCAATACAAACAGGTATGTAGTGAAAAGAGAGTTTTTTTATTTCGGAACAAATTTAAATTTTTTAAAATTTTAAATTTTAATTTCCAAAAAAAAAAAATAAAATAAAATAAAAAAAAAAATTGACTCAAAAAAAAAATAAATAAAATCTAATTTCTAAAAAATTCTGTTGAAATCTTAAAAATACCGAAGGTAGCTATTACATTAGTGTCTATACGACGACATGAACCTGCGTAGGTAACATTTGTCATAAGCCATTACAATATTCGAATGCGAAACTTCAAAAAAAAATCGGTTATAATGTCGATAAAATTAAAATACCGAATATCGGGAAGTACCGTTATATGGGGGCTATACGAAGACGTGGACCTGCGCAGACAATTTTCCGTCATAGGCTGTAGTATCCATTACGAACTTCGTATATTAAATTTAAAATCATTCTGGTAAAAAATGTCCATAAAATAATTAAAATACCGAATATCAGGAGGTACCGTTACATGGGGACTATACGAAGACGTGGACCTGTGCAGACAATTTTCTCTCAAAGGCTGAAGTACCCATTACGGAATTAAAATACCAAATTTCAAACAATTCTGGTAAATAATATCTCTATAACCATCAAAATACCAAATATCGGCAGATACCGTTATAAGGAGGCTTTACGAAGACGTAGACCTGCGAGGAAAATTTTCTGTCTTAGGCTGAAGTATCCATTTCGAACTTCAAATACAAAATTTGAAATAATTCCGGTAAAAAATGTCGCAAAAATCATTAAAATACCGAATATCAGAAGGTACCGTTATATGAGGGATATACGAAGACGTGGACGTGGATAAACAATTTTCCGTCTTAGGCTGAAGTATCCATTTCGAACTTCAAATACAAAATTTGAAATAATTCAGGTAAAAAAATGTCGCTAAAATCAGCAAAATACCAAATATCGGGAGGTACGTTATATGGGGGTTTTACGAAGAGGTGGATCTGCACAGACAATTTTCTGTCATAGGCTGTAGTATCCATTACGAATTTCAAATACCAAATTTTAAATAATTCCGGTGAAAAATGTGTCTAAAATCATTAAAATACCGAATATAGGGAGGTATCGTTATATGGGGGCTATGCGAAAACGTGTAGCTGCACAGACAATATTCTGTCTTAGGCTGAAGCATCCATTACGAACTTTAAATACCAAATTTAAAACAATTCTGATGAATAATATCGCTAAAATCATCAAAATACCCAATATCGACAGATACCGTTATAAGGAGGCTTTACGAAGACGTGCAGCTCCACAGACAATATTCTGTCTTAGGCTGAAGTATCCATTTCGAACTTCAAATACCAAAATTTGAAATAATTCCGATGAATAATTTCGCTAAAATCATCAAAATACTGAATATCGCAAGGTATCGTAATATGAGGGCTATACGAAGACGTGCAGCTGCACAGACAATATTCTGTCTTAGGCTGAAGTATCCATTTCGGACTTCAAATACCAAATTTGAAACAATTCCGGTAAATAATGTCGCTAAAATCATCAAAATACCGAATATCGGAAGGTACCATTATATGGGAGCTATACCAAATCGTGGACCTACATGGCCCATTTTCAATACCAAAAGTCCTGCAGACATAACATTCATTGGAGCAAAGTTTTATCGATCTACTTTAATTCGTTCGGAAGCTAGATTTGAGCTGTATTTGATATATTTCCCTGAATATCGTTGTTACGGAGTGCATATTACGGATGTGGTTAAAAAATATAACAAATCGGATGAACAATATATATGGGAGCTATAGCTATATGTGAACCGATCTTCACCAAATTTGACATACTAGCTTTTAAACTCAATTCGGTCGCATGTGCCAAATTCCATCCCATTTGGACAAATATTAGACGTTTGGTGCACAATAAAAAGTAAATCGGACGAAGTTATATATATGGGAGCTATATCCAAATCTGAACCGTTGTCGATAAAATTTAGCAAATGTATTTCTGAGCTGTATTTGATATATTTCCCTGAATATCGTTGTTACGGAGTGCATATTACGGCTGCGGAGGACAAAAATAACAAATCGGATGAACAATATATATGGGAGCTATAGCTATATCTGAACCGATTTCGATCAAATTTGGCATACTTCTTTTCAGGCCTAATTTAGTTGTGTGTGCAAAATTCCATACTATTCGGGCGAATATTACACGTTTGGTGCACAATAAAAGGCAAATCGGACGAAGATATATGTGGGAGCTTTATCTAAATTTTTACCGATTATCTCCAATTTCAATAGGATTCGTCCTTGGGCCAAACAAATGATTTGTGCAAAATTCCATCTGGATAGGGCATTAAATGCGAACTGTACCTGATGGACGGACGGACATGCATAAATCGACTCAGAATGTGATTCTATGCAGGTCATCAAAAGGAACTATGGGTCTTTCTCGTTTCCGTTTGCCTGTTACAAACAAATGCACAAAGACATAATACCCTGACCACCTTGTGGTGTAGGTTATAAAAATGTTCAGATATACACTCGAAAAAAATTTTTTGTTTATTACAAACATTTGTTTTAAGAGGGTAGAGTATTAAAATTGCGATTTAAAAAAAATTAATTACCAAAAAAAAAAATATTTTTTCATGGTCGAGCACTGATTGATGGTCAACCAAAAATTCGAATCATTTATTTTTGTTTGATTCGTAAATATTTATAAAATTTCCAAAATAAAAAAATATTTTCCATTTTTCAAACTTAAATCCCTTATTTCCTCCTTCAACACCTGGGGTGGATGGTTGCTCCCTGATCGACATGCCAATATATTTTTCTTAGAGTCTTACCTTTCATGCCTTCCTTACCTGACAATATTTGTTTATTATTTTTATTATTTGTTTTTTTCTTCTGATTTTGTTTTGTTTATTTAACGTTTATCTATTTTATCGTGTTTTGTTTTGTTTTTTTTTTTCTTTCTTCAAACATCAAATATTGGCATTGTTGCTGAAATTTTGTGTGTGTGTTTGCGCTTTGTTTGTTTGCAAACAATAGAAGAAAAAATAAAATAAAAAAAAAATAAAAACACAATTTCACCTTAGCGCTTTGTTGAATTGTTATTTTTAGAGTTTACGTCTGATTTGAAGGAATTTCATCTCTTTTCTGTGCAGATATTTTCATGCACCTACAAGGGAGGAAAGATATGTGGGCCAAAATACAAGAGCAAAACAAAAGTGGCAAAAAAATCAAGAAAAAAAAACAAAACACAAATTTTTATTACGCTTCAGTTGCTAATTTTGCACTTGTTTGTTGTTGTTGCTGCTGTCAGATAAATAATCATTTAAATGACTTCGGAAAGATAGCAAATAAATTATTCAAGTAATCAAGTTGGGGAAATGTATTAACAAAAGAAAAAGAAAATAACAAAAACGAAAACAATTGAAAACATTTAAATTTCAATTTCATTCATGAAAAATATTTTGCGAAAAATAAAATTATTTCATTCAAAACCAAACACCAACATTTCGTTGTTGTTTTGAAACAGATTTCCCGTATTCCACTTCTTGTTTGAAAACACATTCCAGAAATATTTCTTCGATGGGGCAACGTCACTGATATGAGGTATTCTTTTTTTTCAACCTAACATGATTTCGCAATATTTTGCAAAAAAAAAAAAAAAAACAACGCACAAAAATATTTTTATGAACTATTTGCTTGAATAGATAAAATTCATTCATTATACACTCGAAGAAAAATATTGGTTGCAATTATATATTATCTGCAAAAAATACTTTAAATTCATGAAAAAAATTACAGAAATTATTTTAAAATCCAACAATTGCTAAAAATATAAACTCGAAGGAAATTAATAGTAATAAAAAATGTACACTAGATATATATTGTGATATTAAAAAAAAAAAATAATAAATAAAAAAACTTTTAAATTTTATATCAAAAAAAAATCGACTCGAAGAAAAATATAAGTTATAATAAACGTGTTTATTGGTTTTTTATTTAATTGAAATTTTATTTATATAATTTCTTTCTAATATTAACTTTAAAATACATTTACTTTGGTTTATTTTATAATAATTTATATAAATATAATTTTTAATTATATTTATTTAGTTTAATTTATTTTTTCTATTTTTTACAATTTTATTCAATAAAATATTATAATATTCTTAAATATTTAAATTTATTGATTTTAAAATTCATTATAAATAATAAAACTAAATAAAAAATACACTTTAAGGAAACTATTGGATATAAGAAAATTTTTTGCAAAAATTTTTGTTATTTCTTAATTTGTAGAAAAAATAAACCACTCGAAAAAAATATTTAGTATAAATATATAATACTACGATATGGACCTGCATAGGTAACATTCGTCATAAGCCATTACAATATTTAAATGCAAACCTTAAAAAAAATCGAATATCGGGAAGTACAGTTATATAGGGGCTGTACGGAGACCTGGACCTGCATAGACAATTTTCTTTCACAGACTGTAGTTTCCATTAGGAACTCTAAATACGTAATTTGAAAAAATGCTGGTGAATAATGACGCTAAAATCATCAAAATACCGAATATTGGGAGGTACCGTTATATCGGAGTTGTGCGAAGGCCTGGACCAACATTGACAATTTTTATTTTGATTATTTTAGCGGCGTTATTCATCGGAATTGTTTCAAATTTGGTATTTGTAGTTCGAAATGGATACGGGTTTTCTAATCGCTTTTTTACTTTTCAAACCGTTTCTGCTGATGTTGCTGTTTTCTTCCGTCTACTTCCTTGACAAAAAATATTCTTTAAAAAATCCACGTTTAATTTGTTTTTCATTAATTTTTTAAATACACGTTTGATGGGTCTTTGGAATATAATAAAGGGTCCTTGTAAAAAAAAATTAAAAAATCAACGTCTTTGAAAAAAATAAAAATTTAGAAATCCACGTTTGTTCAGTCCTTGAAAAAAATTTATTTTAAAAAAACATAAATATAATAACTTAAAAAATATATATTTAAAA